CTAAAAGGTAAAAGGGGTACAGTACTGTCTCCACACCGGTACTCACTAGTTCAAAGGGTATGTAAACCCATAAGGTCGTAATAATAGACATATGGGTTATTAACTAGATTGGTGGGAGCTAAATAACTAGCCGTGTGTGGTCGAAAAGCTAATTTTGTCCCGGTCGAAATAACTAACCACTGATTGGCCATAATAAAATTAACCTTTTGAGGGGATGTAATAAAATAGTCTTTGTGGTGGTCATAATAAACCTGTTTTGGTCGTAAAAAACTAACCTCTTTTTTGGGCGTAAAACCTATGTACTGGTCGTAAAAACTAACCTGGTACTGTTCGTAAAATTAACACTGTATCGGTCGAATAATCTTTTACGGGCGTAATAAAATTGCTGTGTACTGGGTTTTAATTATTTTATGCGGTCGTAATAAAAAACCTGTGTACTGGTTGTAACTAGCATGGTACTTTTTGTAAAAATTGTGGTGTCGTAATAACTAACCTTTTTATGGTCGTAGTAACTAGATGGTTTTCTGTGTTGTAATAATTGTGTGCGGTATTAATAACAACCCCTTTTTATGGTCTTAATAACTAACTGTTGTGGGTGTAATAATTTTTGGTGGTCGTATAAATAACCCCTGTTTCTATCGTAATTAAATAGCCTAGTACTGGGTGTAATAATTGTGCGCGGGTTTTAAAAACTAACCCGTTTACTGATCGTAATAACTGCCTGTTACTGGGTGAAAAAATTGTGTCTGGTCGTAAAAAGTAACCGTGTATGGGCCTAAAAAACTATTTCGTAGGGTGTAATAATTGTGTTCTGGTCGTAAAAACTAACCCCGGTTTTTCTGGTTTGAAATAATAGCCTGTGTACTGGGTTTTATTGTGTGCTGGTCGAAAACTAACCCGTTTACTGGGGGTAATAAATGTGCTGGCGTAATAAAAAACCCTTGTACGGTCTTAATAACTAGCTTGTGTACTGTGTTAATAATTGTGTGCTGGTCGTAATAACTAACCCTGTACTGATCGTAATAACTGCCTGTGTATGGGGGTAATATTTTGGGGGGGTCGTAATAAATAACCCTTTTTACTGGGGCAAAAAACTACCTGTGTCTGGGGGTGATTATTTGGGGTCGAATAAGTAACCTGGTTGGTCCCAATAACTATTCGTGTACTGGGTTAATAATTTTTGTGTGGTCGTAATAACTAACCTTTGTACTGGTTTTGTAATAACTACCCGGTCTGGGTGTAATAATTGTGTTGGTCGTAATAACTAACCGTGTACTGTTGAGATACTAGCCTGGGTTTTACTGTAATAATTGTTTGTGGGTCGTAAAAACAAACTGTGTACTGGGCGTAAAAACAAACCCGTGTATGGCGAAAAAATTGGTCGGTCGTAAAAACTAAAACCCGTGTACTGGTCAATTGGCAGTTCCAGATATAAAATTAAAAAAAAAAATTTAACCCTTATATCAAATTTAAGGTGTTTTTTTGAATAGTTGGGGAGCTGTCAGAGTTCACGCCAGGACTTGACTCGCTTTTAGTATCAAATTAATATGCCCGTGGGGGTTAATATCGTGCTGGTAATTAACAACCCGTTATCTATACAAAATACAATATATTTACTACAAAAATTACATTTTGTTCTTAATCCTGAATAAAATTAATTGACCCCTTTATGCATACAAACCCAAATTTACATTTAAAGTGAGATCGTTTTTTTTTTGCAGTAAAAAAATTTTCCTTTACCAGCAAAGTCAAAAGAATTCATGACCACCTAGGGGTCTTTCACACCTCAGAAGGTATATGTGCTGCACACCCGGGATGAACACACCCCCACTGTAGAGACGACACTAGCCACCACACTGCTCACAAAATTATCTTTGGGGAATCCGGGGGTTAAAATAAAATAACCCCGAACAGGTAGAGGTCCACCACACCTTAAATAACCCCTTTCCGAGATTTAAGCTCTGAATTCCCGGTATCCCCCGATAAGTCCAAGGGCTGAAAAAAATTTGGGTGTGTTGAAGAAATTTGGTTTGATACAGGGGGACGAGAGTTTTCAATGCGCAGGCATGAAAGCAAAAAAATTTTCATAACCGATTGACAGTGAATAAGAATTTCAGAGGAGGCGGATACACAGATTGTCTCCCCTCAAAGCATGTGTAAGGGGGCCCCGCTTATACAGCAGGTTAGGTTAGGCTACTCCGTAAAACCGAAATCGCCGTAAAGCGAAAAAAGCTTTTAATTCTATCGAAAACCCGATAATATGTTTACACCCTTATAATTTATGAAAATAGAGTTAGTCTAAAAAAAAGCATATTTCTTTTAAAACATTATCTACTATAAATATTTTCGGTTTCTTATAGTGAGTAATGAATTTTTTTGTGGCTCTGGTGGCCTGGGGTTTAAAGCTCTCGCTTCACACGGCGAGGGGCCCGGGTTCGATTCCCGCCAGAGTAGAAAATTGGACGTGTTTCTTTCAACCCGTTGCTATGTTCCCCATCAGTAAAATGGGGGGCCTGGTGTTTGTCGATGGTTGAGTCGCATCCCGGGACACTGACCTAAGGGGCCGGTCACAGACCCGGGGCCCGGGGGCGTTGACCCCCCAACCCTTTTCCAGGTAAACTCCGGTAGGGGTCTGAATAAAAAAAGAAGGGTATAATTGAGAACTGCTGCATTGGGAAGGCGCCGTAAAAAGCGAAGCAATGTCAACTAAAAGGCCCACTGATCACCCGAAATCTAAAAAGCACAGGAGGGGAGTGAGAGGAGGAGCAGGGGAGAGAATGTTCATAAAAGGTTAGGTTAGGTTTAAGTTAGGTTACGTTATTTCGTTTTGGTTAGGGAAGATTAGGGGGGGTAGGCTAGGTTAACTAGGAAGGGGAGATTGGTTAGGTAAGGTTAGGGTAGGTTTTGGGTAGTTAAAAGGGTTTGGTTAGGTTACGTTTGGGTTTCGTTACGTTAGGTAAAGGGGAGGTTTGGTTTGGTTAGGTAAGGTTGGTTGGTTTGGTTTGGTTAGGTAAGTTAGTTAGGGTTTGGTTAGGGTTTGTAAGGTAAGGTTAGGTTAGGTTAGGGGTTTGGGTTGACTAGGTTAGGGACAAGTAGGGTTTGGTTTGTTTGCAACGTGGGGATTACGATTTCGTGGTCGTTTAAATTAGGTTAGCAGGGGGTAGGTTTCGGTAGGTTAGGGGGGTAAGGGTAAGTTTGATTTGGTTAGGTTAGGTTAGATTAGGGGGGTTAGGTTAGGGGTTGGTCAGGTTTGGTTGGTTAGGGGTTAGGTTAGGTTAGGTTAGGTTAGGTTAGGTTAGGTTAGTCAGGTCAGGTCAGTTAGGTTAGGTTAGGTTAGATTAGGTTAGGTTAGGTTAGGTTAGGTTAGGTTAGGTCAGGTTAGATTAGGTTAGTTTACGTTAAGTTAGGTTAGGTGAGGTTAGGTTGGTTTAGATTAAGGTACGTTAGGTTAGGTAAAGGGAGGCTATATTACGTTAGGTTAGGTTAGGTAGGTTTAGGTTAGATAAGAGTAGGTTAGGTTAGGTAAGGTAAAGTTAGGTTAGGTTAGATAAAATTTGTCAGGAAACAGGACAAGTGTTTCAGAAGGAATTAATTCTAAATGAGTTCTTGCTAATTGACCAGTTTTACATATTCGGCAACGACATATATATATATAATATATAATATTTATATATATATATATATATATATATATATATATATATATATATAGATATTATATATATACACTGATCTCTGCTGAAGGAGACTCGAACCTACGAACCTTAGGACAAGGTACGCAGTGCTTTACCAATCTACCCACACTGGACAATACCTTGGCGTGTAGCATGAGCTTACACGTTTGATCCAAGGCAGCCAGCTTTCAGGGAGAAGGCTTACAGCTTTTCATCTCATCCCTGCATGCATCAGCATTACTAGAGATTTGAACAATGCAAGGAATTCGCGAGAGCATGCGAAATATACACAAACACTGATCTTGATCAGCCAGAGATCAGTGTTTGTGTATATTTCGCATGCTCTCGCGAATTCCTTGCATATATATATATATATTATATATATAATATATATTTATATATATATATATATATATATATATAAATATATATATTATATATAATATATATAAATATATATATATATATATATATATATATATATATATATATATATATATATATATATATATTTTATATATATATATATATATATATATATATATATATATATATATATATGTTGTGAATAAGATAATAGTATACAATACTGACAGGTTGATAAGTAAGACACATGTGCAACAGTTAGGTAACTTTATACCGAAATGTCTCGTCTACACAGTAGGATTCTTCAGTCAAATACAGAGAAGGCAGTAGAGATGTAAAGATAATGCAATCGGTCTGTCCCTCAGCATCGAGAAGCGTTCTGCTCCATAGTCTGGAATAATGTTACGTTGTCAGTAAAACACAGCAGTATATCACAGCAGTATATCACAGCAGTATATCACAGCAGTATATCACAGCAGTATATCACAGCAGCATATCACAGCAGCATATCACAGCAGTATATCACAGCAGTATATCACAGCAGTATATCACAGCAGTATATCACAGCAGCATAACACAGCAGTATATCACAGCAGCATATCACAGCAGCATATCACAGCAGTATATCACAGCAGCATATCACAGCAGTATATCACAGAAGCATAGCACAGCAGCATATCACAACAGCATATCACAACAGCATATCACAGCAGCATATCACAACAGCATATCACAACAGTATATCACAGCAGCATATCACAGCAGTATATCACAGCAGTATATCACAGCAGTATAACAGATTATAGACAACAGAAACACTAGTCACCAAGGTTAAACACAAGTTTTTTCATTGTTTAACATGTTAGGAGAGCTGAGTGGGTTAGGGCTTCATATACATATCAAAATGGGTAGATAAGCGGTGATAAGGCATATCAGAGGTGGCACTGCTAACAGTGTCGGCTAAAATAACCTTCAGTCACTGTCTGACTCAGTCAAAGTGCTGAAGTAAGCGAGGTTCATCACGGTGTTCCTGCAACATCACACCTCGGTCTCCTGATCATCAGTCACTTGGTATTTTAGATCTATACCAGTTGCAAGAAAATACAACTCTTGTGGTCTTCCTTGCGTTATTATGTTGTTCTGTTTCGTAACTGCGTAGGTTTAATATTGATGCAATGAACTTAAGCATCATTCCTCCTGCGTAGGTTTAATATTGATGCAATGAACTTAAGCATCATTCCTCCTGCGTAGGTTTAATATTGATGCAATGAACTTAAGCATCATTCCTCCTGCGTAGGTTTAATAGTGATACAATGAACCTAAGCATCATTCCTCCTGCGTAGGTTTAATAGTGATACAATGAACCTAAGCATCATTCCTCCTGCGTAGGTTTAATAGTGATACAATGAACCTAAGCATCATTCCTCCTGCGTAGGTTTAATATTGATACAATGAACCTAAGCATCATTCCTCCTGCGTAGGTTTAATAGTGATACAATGAACCTGAGCATCATTCCTCAAGTATTAGCTCGTATAAGAAAAAGGGGAGATAATGATGGTGACCGTATAATGATTAATACCTGGTTAGTTGCTATACAAGTTACTAGCACTGATAAGTAAATAACACTTGGCTAAACTAGTGACCAGGCACTGCTGACCATACACTGCAGTATCAGTGAGACGTGACTGTCCTAGTGACAAGAATATTAGACAACTCTCACACAACACTGTCAGTGAAGCAGTGACTGCAGTGAAGCAGTGGCTGCAGTGAAGCAGTGGCTGCAGTGAAGCAGTGGCTGCAGTGAAGCAGTGGCTGCAGTGAAGCAGTGGCTGCAATGAAGCAGTGGCTGCAGTGAAGCAGTGGCTGCAGTGAAGCAGTGGCTGCAGTGAAGCAGTGGCTGCAGTGAAGCAGTGGCTGCAGTGAAGCAGTGGCTGCAGTGAAGCAGTGGCTGCAGTGAAGAAGTGGCTGCAGTGAAGCAGTGGCTGCAGTGAAGCAGTGGCTGCAGTGAAGCAGTGGCTGCAGTGAAGCAGTGGCTGCAGTGAGCAGTGGCTGCAGTGAAGCAGTGGCTGCAGTGAAGCAGTGGCTGCAGTGAAGAAGTGGCTGCAGTGAAGCAGTGGCTGCAGTGAAGCAGTGGCTGCAGTGAAGCAGTGGCTGCAGTGAAGCAGTGGCTGCAGTGAAGCAGTGGCTGCAGTGAAGCAGTGGCTGCAGTGAAGCAGTGGCTGCAGTGAAGCAGTGGCTGCAGTGAAGAAGTGGCTGCAGTGAAGAAGTGGCTGCAGTGAAGCAGTGGCTGCAGTGAAGCAGTGGCTGCAGTGAAGCAGTGGCTGCAGTGAAGCAGTGAAACCCCGTGTGTTTTAACAGAGAAATCTGACTCCCATGTTGGTCTCCTACCTAGACTGTGACACCCATGTTGGTCTCCTACCTAGACTGTGACACCCATGTTGGTCTCCTACCTAGTCTGTGACACCCATGTTGGTCTCCTACCTAGACTGTGACACCCATGTTGGTCTCCTACCTAGACTGTGACACCCATGTTGGTCTCCTATCTAGACTGTGACACCCATGTTAGTCTCCTATCTAGACCGTGACACCCATGTTGGCCTCCTACCTAGACTGTGACACCCATGTTGGTCTCCTACCTAGACTGTGACACCCATGTTGGTCTCCTACCTAGACTGTGACACCCATGTTGGTCTCCTACCTAGACTGTGACACCCATGTTGGTCTCCTACCTAGACTGTGACTCCCATGTTGGTCTCCTACCTAGACTGTGACACCCATGTTGGTCTCCTACCTAGACTGTGACACCCATGTTAGTCTCCTACCTAGACCGTGACACCCATGTTGGCCTCCTACCTAGACTGTGACACCCATGTTGGTCTCCTACCTAGACTGTGACACCCATGTTGGTCTCCTACCTAGACTGTGACACCCATGTTGGTCTCCTACCTAGACTGTGACACCCATGTTGGTCTCCTACCTAGACTGTGACACCCATGTTGGTCTCCTACCTAGACTGTGACACCCATGTTGGTCTCCTACCTAGACTGTGACACCCATGTTGGTCTCCTACCTAGACTGTGACACCCATGTTGGTCTCCTACCTAGACTGTGACTCCCATGTTGGTCTCCTACCTAGACTGTGACTCCCATGTTGGTCTCCTACCAAAAACAACGACATATACAACCTCCCATCTCAACACTGTAGACTTTCTAAACGGATGCTACAACACGATAATAATTAAAATTACTGCAACAACAGCAATAATAATAACAATAATAATAATAATAATAATCAAAATTTAGTTTCCTTGCTCAGAGTTGAGTTATTTTTGCTGATCAGTTAATTATCCAATCAACAACAAAAGCAAACACGAACAGACGAAGGTGAAACATGTAAGAGACTGACTGATTAAAGTTGTTGCCAAGAAAAAAATTAGGAAATCCCAAGACTGATGAAGCTCTAGACACATGTGCAACATTTAGACATATTTATATGTAGACGTTTCTCCATCCAGTGCCTTTATCAGTCCAACACAAGGACATAATCTGAAGACTGATGAGGTAATCAGTCCTTCAATCTTATTTTACACAGTGTAAAATAATTAAGGTGCAAGAAATTGAAATAATTACGATAATCTGCATGAATATAATTCCTGCAGAGTAATGTTCAGATGTCAGTTAGTGGAAATTATAATTCAAGTTACAGGAAGACGAGGTAACGAAGCAGAATTGGTCAAAATAATTAAGAAAACACTGATATTTCGATATCAGTGTCAGAAGGAAGGGAGAATTAGTATAATAGATAATGGTAAAAAAATAGATGAGTTTGGAAAAAATAGAGGAACAAAAGTTGGTATGGATATGTATGATAGACAGAAACTTACTACTGCTACTACTACTGCTACTACTACTACTACTACTACTACTACTACTACTACTACTACTACTACTACTACTACTACTACTACTACTACTACTACTACTACTACTACTAATACTACTACTACTACTACTACTGCTACTACTACTACTACTACTACTACTACTACTACTGCTACTACTACTACTACTACTACTACTACTACTACTACTGCTACTACTGCTACTACACTACTACTACACTACTACTACTACTACTACTACTATACTGACTACTGCTACTTACTACTACTACATACTACTACCTACTAACTACTACTACCTACTACTTGCTACTACTACTACTACTCTACTACTACTACTACTACTACTACTACTACTACTATACTACTACTACTACTACTACTACTACTGCTACTACTGCTACTACTACTACTACTACTACTACTACTATACTACTACTACTACTACTACTACTACTACTATCTACTACTGCTACTACTGCTACTACTACTCTACTACTACTATACTACTACTACTACTACTACTACTACTACTACTACTGCTATACTACTACTGCTACTACTACTACTACTAACTACTTCTACTACTACTGCTACTACTACTACTACTACTACTACTACTACTACTACTACCTACTACTACTACTACTACTACTACTACTACTACTACTACTACTTGCTACTACTGACTACTACTACTACTATACTACTACTACTACTACTACTGCTACTACTACTACTACTGCTACTACTACTACTACTACTACTACTACTACTACTACTACTGCTACTACTACTACTACTACTACTACTACTATCTACTACTACTAGTACTACTACTACTACTACTACTACTACTACTAATACTGCTACATACTACTACTACTACTTACTACTACTACATACTACTACTACTGCTACTACTGCTACTACTACTACTACTACTACTTACTACTACTGCTACTACTACTACTACTACGCTACTACTACTACTATGCTACTACTACTACTTAACTCTACTACTCTACTACTACTGCTACTACTACTACTACTACTACTTACTACACTACTACTACTACTACTACTGCTACTACTACTACTAACTACTACTGATACTACTACTATACTATATACTACTACTACTACACTACTACTACTAACTACTCTATTACTACTACTACTACTCTACTACTACTACTCTACTACTACTGCTACTACTACTACTACTACACTCTTACTACTACCTACTACTATGCTACTACTACTACTTACTACTACTGCTACTACTACTATACTACTACTACTACTACTACTGACTACTCTACTACTACTACTACTACTACTACTACTGCTACTATACTACTACTACTACTACTGCTACTACTGCTACTTACTACTGCTTACTACTACGTACTACTACTACTACTGCTACTACTGCTACTACTACTGCTACTACTACTACTGCTACTACTACTACTACTACTACTACTACTACTACTACTGCTACTACTGCTACTGCTACTACTACTACTACTACTACTACTACTACTACTACTGCTACTACTACTACTACTACTACTATACATACCTACTACTGCTACTACTACTACTACTACTGCTACTACTACTGCTACTACTACTACATACTACTACTACTCTACTACTACTACTATACTGCTACTACTGTACTACTAACTACTATACTACTACTACTACTACTCTACTACTACTACTGCTACTACTGCATACTACTATACTACTTTCTACTACTACTGCTACTACTTACTACTGCTACTACTACTACTGTACTACTGCTATACTACTACTACTACTACTGCTACTACTGCTATACTATACTACTACTACTACTACCTACTACTGCTCTACTAACTACTACCTACTACTAACTACTACTACTTCTACTACTACTACTGCTACTACTATACTACTACTACTGCTACTACTAACTACTACTACTACTACTACTACTTACTACTACTAGCTACTACTACCTACTACTACTACTACTACTACTGCTACTACTACTACTACTACTATACTACTCTACTACTACTAGCATACTACTACTACTACTACTACTACTACTGCTACTACTACTACTATACTACTACTACTGCTACTACTACTACTACTACTACTACTGCTAT